CCGCCAACAAACCAATCGTAACAATAACAAGAAACGCAAACGCAAACCAACCCAGTATCATCGCCGACGTCCCCACCCCGCTCCTCACAACCCCATTCCCCAAATCCTGCGCGATCGTACTGGCCGCCACAGACGCTGTATGCTGCCACAGCACGGATACGAGGATAAATACCGCCGAAACGAAAATCAGCGCTAGACTCGCCTGCGAGACGGGCCGGGAGGGAAACTGCTTCACCTCGAGGTCTTCGCCGTTTTCGCCCACCTCGTTGTGCCAAGAGGGGAAGGTGGCGAGGAGGAGGAAGCAGAAGAAGGCGAGAATTATGGCGACGATTCTGGTTTATAGAGTTAGCGCGTTCGCAAATTTATATCTATATATAGACAAATATTGAAAAAAAAAAAAAAAAAAAAAAAAAAAAAAAAAGGCAAAAGGGGGTTCCAACGTACATCAAATACGGAAAAACAACCGCGTCCTTAAACGTCGCCGCAACCCACACTAGATTCAACGGATCTTCCTCGGACTGTAAGATATCCGCCAGCGCGGTGGCGTTTGAGTTACAGATGAACGCGCCGCCGGTGGGTTGGACGCAGATGCCAAAGTAGCCCACACGCACCTCGACCTGTGCGCCGCCGACGATGTTGTTCATGGCGATGTTGATGGATGGCGCGACGATGGCGGGATCAATGACTGGCTCATATTTTTCGTAGAAGAGGGATATTAGGAAGATTGTGGGAATTTCCGGGGAGGAGGAGGAGCAGCCGGCCAGGAGGAGGGCTGCAAGGTGTTTGTGCATGTTAGCGCTCTTGCCTTTTCCCTTTTTTTTTAAAGGACATTTTATACAATGGGAATGGAGACTTACATAGTAATATTATAGCAATGCCAATGAATACCATGAGGACATGGTGGTAACCGATAAGAGGTAGGAATTCTACAACGCTCAAAATATATAGTTAGTTAGGCAAGTCCTTCGAATTTCCCTTCATCTCTTCCATCATCAGACCCGTTGTGAATACAACAGGAGCCCAGGCTCACGATACTCATTCAGTCCCTCTCCCTCCCCTCCCTGCCCTCGGGCATTATAACTTGAACAGTAAAATGGAAAGAGGAGACCACTCACGGAGGAACCACTGGGTAAATTTTAACTCCGGCATCTTGGCGCCGGTCTCTTTTTTGCCCTAGCCTAGGTTCCAGTTGCCGGCGGGAGTTGGCTATGGTGGTATATAGCCTGGCTTCAGTCCTCAACGTTCGCAGGACACAACACAGAGACAAAGGGAAAAAAAGACCCAACCGCCTTCAGCGGAATGGGTTCTAATAGTCTCTCGTTTCCCTCGAGATGTTTTTCGCTTTCCCTTTGGCTTATAACCCTGTTTGGATGTGCGGTCCCAAGCACAAGTCCTGAGCGACAGCGCGCTCCCCGTTTCTTCTCTGTGGCGCAGACCCTGGAGGATACGCACTCGATCGGTTCTCCAACAGAACAACAGGGGTGTATGTAAAGGATAAGGATATGGCTTATCTGCTCTCGGATCGAGATATCTGATGCGACAATCACACCACTCTGTTACGTTTGTGCACAGAACAGAACTTATTTTGCAAATCAGCCTTCCCACTTCTTACTTAAGAGAACCCGAAAGTGGCGGTCTATAGCTTGCGGAACGATTGTCGAAAGAGAGTGGTTTATCTCTTGCTTGTGCTAGGAAGGGTGTAGTGCTCCCCGTAAATAGGTCAGAGAGGATAAGGATGGGTGAGTAGGGGTAGTTGTTTGCTTCTTGTAGCCCTTTGGGATGAAATATGTTTGTTAGACAGGGTAGCACGGCAAAGCGCAGAGAGCAGAGAGCAGAGTCTAGGGATGGGATGGTGTATAGATGTATATGTATGGAGATGTGGTGGGTCGTAGGAGGGTAAGCGGAGAAGATGGGGGAGAAGGTGGATATGTATGTATGATGTATGGAGGAGATAGAGGGGAAGATAAAGAGAGAGAGAGAGAGGGGGGGGGAGAGAGCGAATATCCCCTTATCTCATTGAAACAAACGAGTGGATTTTGTATTTAAGAAAGATATCCCCAATCCAAGTTTAGAGTTTTCGTCTTCTATTTCTTCGGCGGCGTCGGTCGTCAAGTCAGGATGTACTATACTTGGGATAGGAGTACGGAGTACAGCGTATGCGGAAGGAAAGAAAAAGAAAGGAAGAGAGAGAGAGAGAGACTTCCCACCCCCATTCGCCTAAGGAAACACGGACGGATAGAAGGATTAAAGAAAAGGGAAACTAACCAGACCAATCGTAATATTCGTGGTGGCTGGAGCAATGGGAAAAGATGAGGTTGGAGATCACTCACAGTCCATCCCGTTTCGCATCCAAAAGGGCGGAGTGGTTTTTGCGGTGGCTGGGGATTGTTTGTTTTGTTTACACCCGCCGGTTGCTGCGGTAACTGGCTGACTAAACCTCTCACCGCCCGGCAGAATCCCCGCAAAGGGGCTTAGTCAGCGCCTCCATCGGTCCATGACGTCACTCCACGCCGTCGAGAGGAAGGAAATATGAATCAATTATATAATATTTCTTCAACAAGTTTACAATAGTTATTATGTATTTCAACAACTCCAGACATCCTTATGTCTATTGGAAAAAAAAAAAAAAAAAAAAAAAAAGGGAACTAACACCTGCCAATCTGCTCCATACAATAAAATCTCGTTGGGAGTATCCACCAACAGTATCGTATCCTCATTCCATCTCTTCTCGTCCAGGCCATAGATATGGTCTCGGAGGTCTAGCTACGGCATTGATCGCGTGCTCCTCACTCTCGCACCGCTTCAGTCGTGCGAGTACTTCCAGGGAAATGTGTGAGTAGACTCTCACGTCCGGGGCGACATACCAATATTGTAGTATATCGCTGACACTGCGTAAGGCGTCACTGGAGATGTAGTGGTGATTCACGAGGTCGTAAACCATGGTATACCTATTTTGGCAGATGAGCAAGTGATTGTGTTCTAGAAATTTTTTTTTTTTTTTAAAAAAAACTTACACCCACGGCCGAGTGTCCCAGCCAGAAGGTATTTGATATTCGCCACGGCCCTCATATTCGAGTAGCTTTGCGATGTGCGCGACGGTGACTGGTTTTGCGTCTGCGATGGCCGCGGTGGTGTATGGGTCTATTGTTGCGATGTCCGCGACGGTGACTGGGTTTATTGATGCGATGTACGAGACGGTGACTGGATTTATTGGGGTGATTTCAAAGTCCCGGAACTCGAGGGCAGGGCTGCAAAAATGGTCATATTTCTGGTATCGGAGGATCCTATTCATCTGGCCAGGTTCAGCATGCATATTGATACGAACTGACGACGGGACATCACGATGAAGCAAGTAGATGGACCAATTATTGCCCAAGGTGTCAGGGGAATAAGCTGCACCGGAGATGTTGTAGATAGATTGTCAGACATGCATGCAATAAATACTTTTATAAGATGAGTGACCCCACGGTAAGGATGGATCCTTTTGGAGCAATAAAAATACCTTCCAAATCTACCGCCACTCGGACGGATTTAATTGGGGTGTCCTCATTTAGAACAATACTGAAAGGAAAAGGAGGCATCAGAGGCTGCGGGACAGGCTCCATTTTGGGACGCAGTTGTCAGGCGTTATTTAGTTAGGTGCTGGTATAATAACCTTGTGGATGGAAGTGGTGTGTACATGTACAATGGACAATGGAGTATTTAAGCTCAAGTCCACAACCGTCTTTACATATTTAATATTGAAGATCGGCATAAAAATGTCATTGGAAGCACCCGCAATAGACAACGACTCCATGTTGGCGGTTTTACGGCACAAGACTTCTGCGGTTTATTGACGGATTGACGGATTTCCGACACGATGGCGGGCTCGGGACGTTGCGAGTTGGTGATAGATAGGCAAGTTCCCAGGAACAGAGTCTGTGGTATTTAGTTTAACAGGTTAGAGTCCCATCTGGGAATATTTAATCAGGCTGAACAGGTTTACAACCTTTTCCCATTCTTCATTGTCCTCAGCATATCCAAGAAACAAGAAGTTGGCATGTGGAATATTTAACTAAACATAGCTGTGGACAGTTCTATCATTGCTTAAATATTTACTTTGACGACTGTGCCCTACAGCTAGCTACATAATAATAGACCTTGAAGATTCGTATGAAATTAATGACAATGAGGAGTCCACCGAGTTCATGCCTGCTGCCGTGAATATTTAAGAGGATTCCAAGATCCAAAACTGTCAGAATACCATCTCTTTGTTTGCTCCTCTCTCTACTCCGTACTGAGGATAACTTGGAACTTTGGCCCTTTAAATACTCTTTCTTGCCTTTAGGATCTTCAATAATTCCCCGATCTTTCACATTCCTGATCGATCGGGACTAAATATTCCATATCCATATATTCCATCCAAATCCAGTCGAGCAGGAGTATTTTCAGTTCACCCACCAACCCAGTGCAATCTATGCATGTCTTTCTCATCCAACAGCATACCAGCGTACCGGCAATGTCTGTCTCTTTGATTGAGCAAATCACTCAATCAGTCAGAGGTAATGACAATACTGTTATCAAAGTCAGTGAGGCTACAGCCGATTCCCTCACAATATTATTCCTGCTAGTTTTATTATTGGCAAGCTCTTTGACAATTTTGTACCTGGGAGGATTCTGCAGGAACTTTTACTCTCCAAGTTCATTCTTCTCATTATTCAACTGTTTTTCAAATAGAGAGTTCAATTTATTTAAATAATTTGGAGAAGTTTCAGATTATCAAAGATCAGTAACTTGCTGTTTTTTTTTTTTTTTTTTTTTTTTTTTTTTTTTAAATGAGAGAATAAATATATCTTATACATTGATAACATCTTGTAGTAGGAGGACTCTTGGCTGGTTAAAGCAGTTTGCCTCCAGGTAGTTAACTAGTTGTGCAAAGTCATTAACTTCTCATTATCTAACTGCAAGCCCGTAGAAGGTATGAGGTATTGAGCTAGCTAGGTCCACTCACTTGCCATAAAAGAAAAAAAATAAAAAAAAACTCCTAAGAACACCCAATCCTGATAGAATAACACCTTTATCCATACTGTAATATCAAAGAGGGAAAAGAAAAGAAAAGAAGAAAGAATAAAAATATCTCTAGAATCACAAACACTCACCTACCCACTACCACTACCCGTGAACAGAAACTGCTTAAAATCAACAGCAGCCCCTTTTTCTGTCTGCCTCCCCTTTTCTTCCCCTTCATTCAACACATCCACCTCCAACTCCACCTCACTCTCCCCTTCACTATCCGGAATAATCAAATCCTCACTCCCCCGACTTTGATGCTTCATCATCGCTGCTGACAAACACCGCTCTCTGCCGCCTCCAGGTCTAGAGTAGCAGGATCCGGAACGGGATGGGGTAACTCCACCATCATCATCAACAGCATCAACACCCTCCGACTCTCCTTTATTATTATCCTTTTCATCCCCACCCATTAGCGAAGTCTTTGCCGTCCGCAAAGAACCCATAGACTTCGACCGGTAGAGCGCAGACTGCCCCAGCCGCTGCAATGCGGTCATTCGGGACGGTTGCCGTTGCTGCCCCTGTGCAGTATGCGGAGCAGGGCTCTTCTCAATTTTCCCCCCTTCTCCTCCCACTTCTCCCTCGCAATGTTGATTTTGATAAACATGTTCATTTCCTGCCGCAGTCCCATGATCCGCCTCGGATCTCCTATTCGATTCGACATACCCAAATTTATCACGTAATCCCAAAGAACAAGACGAAGAATTCACACATGCATCACCATCATCAAGACCTTCGTCTTCATACTCCAACATCCTGGCAGAAAGTTGGGAGTCGCTACCTCCAGTCGAAATACCGGTCATCGCTTGCGTCAACCCAGTCGTAGTAGCCGTGGGTTCTTCCTCGGGAAAATTACGATTTAGTAGTGCATCAGCAATACTAGATCCTATATCTTCTATGGATTCTCCCCCCTCTTCAATTTTCGACTGCGTAATCGAAAGCCCGTCCTCAGACATATTATTTACCCCATCCGCATCCCGCGTCTCAGCCTGACTCACCCCGTCAGGAAGCTGCAACATGATATCCTCAACAACATTGTCTGAAAACACTCCAAAATCAGCTCTTTTAGCCTTCTTCGTCCGCGCCTTATCTGCATTACTAATCCCAGCTGAACCACTTGATTTAGCCCCGACTGTTGTACCCATCCCCGTACCCTTACCGGCACCCGCAAAGAATCGACTGCGCTTCTCAGTCCCCAACACCGCGGCTGCAGCCTCCGCCCCCGCTTCGTCCGCGTCAGAACACAGACGCTGCCGTTTTACAGGCTGGAATTTCGACACAGTCGAAGCACTGGCAAGAAACTTCTCCCTATCGCTGCTTAGCGGTGTTTTGGTCGTACGGGGCGGGAAAACCCGTGTGGAAGAGGTAGATGGGGAGGCAGTATTTGGCGGAAAGAAAGACGAGGTGGCCCTTCGGACATTCCCCCTCGTTGGGACCGAGCTGGCAACCCACGACCGTCTGGCATTTGCTTCAATAAGTCGCTGCTGACTAGGCGAAGGGGTGAGGCTGTTCGGATCCAGTTCACCCAGTGGAACGCGTTTGGGTGTGAAAAAGGAGTCTATCGGTTTGCTTTGTTTCAAATCTGTGGTGGATGGTAGTGTTTGTCGTCTGGAAACCAACAATCGCGATCTCTCTGGGTACGAGGGTTGTAAGTTTATGGGCTCTTTGGTTATGGGGTCCAGGTCTCCGCACGCAACTCCAATTGCCGTGTCGGGCTCGATATACGCGCCGACGAATGGCATGCTATCCAGGCTCGTATGTTCAGGGAGTGGGGAGAGCGTAACCAGCTTTCTAGCCAGAGGACAAAAGACTAACTGGTGCAAGAAGGTAAGTTCGGCCCTCTTGAAATCCTCCAGATACTGCGGCGGCACACGAGCACCATTCCCCTCAAACTGAAGCATCTTTAAAATCTTCTCAACGGTCTTGTACTTCCTGACATTCCGATACGCCGTTTTGAGCCCCATCTTCGGCAAGTTCGCAAGATAATCACAACCAGAAAGAATGCACATGAGCCGAAAATCGGCATCTGTCCAACCGATAAGACTGATATCGCGACACGCTGTGAAATCCCCCCGATTAATCTCCACGCAATCCCCATGCTTATCCAACTTAGACAGCAACCTTTTCGCCCCAAACACCAACAAATCCGAATCCTCGGAAATTATCCCATTGATCATCCCTTGTTTCTCAAGATATACTAGCTGCGCGTCGGCCTCATAAGGCGCAACGACATACTGGATCTTCAACTTCTTCAGCTCCTCAATCATCAGCCGAGCCATGTACGGCGTCACGTCGACAGCCTTCTGCAGCTCCTGGTGCGCTTCCGTCACCCGGCCCGAACGGTATAATTCCAAGCCAAGCTTCTTGCTCTCCTCGCGCCGCTGGGCTCTCGCTGTCTCAGTGCCGGCCTTGCTGGGGAGGTGATCACCATCGAAGACAAGGTAAGGGGTTACACCAAAGTAAAGCAGCATGCGGACGCGGTTCATGGCAAAGTCGACATATCTGGGGGATTATATTAGCTGAGTGTGGTTTTTACGGTCGTGGAAGAAGAAGAGGAAAATAAGTTTTTGAACTTTACTTGGTATTATGCTTATCGAGAGCGAGGTCGATGGCACACGCGACGGTACCTCGATGTAACCATCCATAGGCATCGACACCAAAAGTCTGGCCCTTAAATTTCCGCAGGTTACATGGCTTCTGGATAGATTTGAGGAGGCCGTGGAGCCCTTTAATTTTATGCAACAAAGCCCGAAGTAAGGTATGTTAGAAGGAAGCCAGAGCAGTACGGAGTAGAGTACTTAGGACAGTTTCCCCGCACATTCCATTGGAATTAGAGAAAAGGAAATAATATATAGAAAAATATATACCTGTAATCCCCATCCTAACTCTGACAAAATCCCCCCTCCCCGCCTCGATATCTCGAGGGAGGTGCCCTAGACAATGTAGGAATCGGGGGTTTGTTTACTTCTGTACACACCGTGCAGGCGGGAGAGATTTCCAGCGCTTCAAGCCATGCGACTTTGGTTAACCAATTTCAGATCCAAAGAGGGAAAAAAGGAAAAGAAAAGAAGAAGAAAATTGACTTCTGTAATTAAAACATTGGAGGAGAAGGGAAGAATTGTTGATTGAATAGAATCTCCTTGTCTCCAGGCAAGTCAAACCAAGCGCTTGCTTACTCAACTCTTGTTGCACGCGCCGGGAAGACGCGACGGAGCTGGCTACGGTTAGTCATCCACCCTCGGCAGCGTGGTCACGTGGGGGCGCTCTCCTCCAGGGCTGTAACTACTGCCGCGTCTCACCGCGTTCGGTAGTTCTGCCCAAGCTGGAAATGTTATTACGTAGTACGGAGTAGATAGATTATTGAAGCTATTATTATATTAATAAGAAAAAGATAAGAAGAATGAATAATATTCCTGCGATATTTTTATTATAAAAGGAATTTTCTGCAAGGTTGATCTTAAATTTACTGGTTTTCCAACAGGAAGGACAAACAATAGGAATTGAAAAAGAAGACGACCCAGCAAAATCCTATCAATCAATCAAACAGCCACAGCCCAGCTGCTTTATCGAAATTCCACTCCGTCGACAACAGGAAGAGAAGAAGAAATAACAAAAAATGGCGAGAAGCCTCAACAAAGTCCAGAAGCATATCTCCAAAAAGCGCGGGAAGGTGGATTCACTGCACGAGAACAGTCGCGATGCAAAGCGACTGCGACGGGCTGGCGGGAGGGAGCATAAATTGGCCGTCGCGGCTTCGGTGACGATGAAGGGGAGGCAGTCGTTTGGTATGTTCTCTCTTGTTTTTTTCTTCTTTCCTTTTGGTCTTTTTCGATAATTACTTTATCGTGGTATACAAAGTATTGTTATCGTAATAGACCATGATCACTAATTCTTTTTTTTTTTTTTTTGGTTTACCTCCAGTGGACCGAGTTCATTTCTTCAAGGAAAACATCCCAGAGCCACCCGCCTCCATGTCGGATGGGGATATGGTTCAGTTGATTACAAGGTGCGCATTCATCATCAACAACAACAAAGTCCACTCGCATGTTATTGTTTCAAAGACATACTCATATATCTTTCAGACCTAATCTAATCAAACTGATATATTACAACAGATTCATCGCCCGCAACCAACCCGAACTAGATCAATTACAAAAAGAGCGACGGCCGGGCAGGCCACCGGTGAAGCGCGAGGAGATCCTCCGGGAGAGGATGGAGGCGGAGAACAGAGAGTTTGAGAGCGGCTTCTGGCTGCCGGATATGGGCGCTGAGGACAATGTGAAGAAACTGGGGGCGTGGAATGGGGAGTGGTCATCGATGAGTACGCTGGGGTTTGTGAGGGTGGCTAGGGATGGGACGAGGCAGCAGTCGATATTTCCGCCGAAGGGGCTGTCGTGATGTTTATATATAGATTTTACTAACCTCCGTTTAACGATATTCAGATTTGTTAGTTCTTTTCTTCTGCAATGTTTTGTCTGTTCTTGAAGATAATGTCAATTTCCTTCATTGATCTGCTATGAACCGAACATCATCGCTCCCAAAAGGAGCAGAGGACAGCATCCCTTGTATATGAAGTAGCGGTAGAATTCGATGTTGCCATTGCGCTTGATTGAACATCTCCTTTAATTTTTCGCAGAAGCAGCCTCAGGCATGGAGCTTATCAGTCTATCAGGCGCTAAACCCGATCCAGCCAGCTCCAGCTAAATTTTTCCGGGTTTCCGTTTCCGGATAATTAGTCCGGGCAATTATTAACAGGAAAACCTCTACCAGAATAATATAACGACGACGTTCAAAGCTCCAACCCTCTACACTCACAACCTCACTTAATTCTTCAACTCTACAACACTGTAACTGTAACCTTATATACTACCTCTATTCACAATGTTCCCCCTCCGTGCTTTCACCCGCTCGGTTCCGCGCATCTTCTCCAGATCCATTGCCATCTCTGCCAGAACCGCCGCCCCAAAACCAAGCATCTTCCAGTCCACATGGATCCGTCCCAGATATATCTTCCCTGCTACTGCTGCTTTCTCCACAACTAGAGCAAGATGGGAGCCTGCAGGACAGTGTGGGTGGTTGTCTTCTATTTACTCGTTGTTTTAGATGAAGAATTGAGAGAAAGGAAGAAATTGGCTAACGTGTCGCATTGTAGCTGATCTCGAACTGGCGGCCAAGCTGAATGAGGAAATGAAGTATGAGCAGAACAACTCCACTGTTGAGACACCACCGGAGTCGGTGCAGTATTATATTGAGAATAGCCCTTTTGAGGTATGTTCTGATTTTTTGCGACCAACAACTGGATTCGAATTTCACTGACATTTTTCAACATCCAGATTCTACACAAGGAAGGCGAAGATGAAGTTGTCCTCACAAGGACATTCGGAGATGAGAAGTACGTAGAGAAACCAAATACACCACGTTATTCAATTACCAAGATAACTCCCAACTAACACCTACCCAAAAGCATTCGAGTTGCATTCACTCTCTCAGACATCCAAGATCTGACCGAGAGCGAATCTGCCCTGGGCGACGAGCATGACGACCTAAACACCCCCATCAACCAAAGACAGGACAGAGACGGCCAAATCCCCGTCGCCCCTGAGGACAAAATCTCCGCCGCCGACCAAGAAGACGCAGACCTTGAAGACGACCAAATCCCCAGCTACCCAGCCCGCGTCAGCGTCACCATCGAGAAGAAGGGCAAGGGCGCCATGCAGATCGAAACCCTCGCCCAGGACGGTTACATCCAGATCCAAAACGTCGGCTACTTTGCCAAGGCCGATCTGGCGAATGCGGCCAGCGCTGAGAAGGAGTGGACACGCCAGAGCCTGTACAGTGGCCCACCCTTCGGCAACCTCGATGAGGACCTGCAGACTCTGATGGAGCAGTATTTGGAGGAGAGAGGAATTGACAATGCGCTTGCCGTGTTCGTGCCGGAGTTTATCGAGTTTAAGGAGCAGCAGGAGTATATTCGATGGCTGAAAAGTAAGTCTTTTTCCCCTCCTGTTATGATCTCTCAATTTCTTACGTATATCTTAAAAATTGCGGATGTACCTGAGACTAACTTTGTTCTTCTCTTTTTCTTTTCCTACACAGACCTCAAGACTTTCATCGAGGCTTAGATGGCGAGGATCTCTTGCTCTCCGGATTTCCTAGCTGCATAAGTAGCCCAACCGCAAACGCCGGCACCGCTTCCCTGTGCTGTAACAACCCCTATTCCTCCTTCTAATCCCATCCACCTCCTCTATGTAAAATGACACCCCGAACCCCCCATTAAACATATTAAAATCTCATAAAACCTTCACCTCTGTATTTTATTATAACTATTCTCTTTCGTACTTTGTTAGGCAAGTACGAACGTCAAAAGAAAGATCATTTTTTTGTGTGTATTTTATATTCATTATACGGAGTATATAGTTCATCTTCCTCATCAAAGTATCCATGTCAATGTTACTATTTTTCCTTTTCTAATTCTCCCCATCCTTTCTCTTTTTACGGTAAACAAAACTAGGGGACATGATGCGTTGTTGGGGGTAAGTTGTAAAAGGGTTGAAGTTATGTGCAGTATTTTGGCTCAACCACCGGAAGATAGAAGGAAGAACAAGCAAAAGAAATTTATACGATCCATTGACGTTCAATGATATAAATTTTGAAGGGGCTGATAACTTGGTTTTCTAATTTCTGCACTCCGTATGCACGCAATCTATTTGCGCGTTAGAAGAGAGTGGGGCTCAGTTTTGGGCAAAACATAGGTCGTCAAAGGGCACTCACTCCACGCTGTATCAAAAATCCTTTATTGGCTGATACATATACATACGCGCCTACTTATAGAAATATTTAGGGGTAGAAGATACTTGAGTAACTCAATTCGAATCCGTTCATTTGCTCGCTGCTGGGTTCTAAACTCCAATCCCGCCCAAAGGAAATAAAAGAGAAGACCGGAAAACTCCCTCCCAAATCATACCCTGTGCAGAACTCATCTGATCACATATAATAAGAATAACAGCGAAACAGAGCCCTTGCCATCAAGTAAATAACTCGCATGAATACCCTCCCCCCCAAAAAAATTCAAACAAACCATCCATCCCTGCTCAAAACTCCATAGCACTCGCCCCACTCTCTTCCGCATCCTCCCGCCCCCTCTTCCCCATCCCCACCCCCGTCCTCTCCGCCTTAAGCAGGCCCGCTACGAACGAGCGGAAATAATCAATATACGGCTTTAAACTAGTCTTCTCGTAGTCCTGCACCTTCCTACCCCTCCCGTCGATATCAGCGGTGCTGGACGGCAAAACATCCCCAACCATCTGTTCGTCTTTCACAGCAGCACCGTTGCTATTAACATCGTTAGCATCGTCATCCCTCAACTCATCCCCGCCCTCCCACGCATTAATCTCCGCAATAAGCTCTCCGACCGTCGGCACGCGCAGCGGATCAAACTGCTCAACCCGCCGAATATCAATGGGCACACACACGCGGCCCGTGCCCGGGTGCACGACGAAGGGGCTCTTGAGTAGGTGGATGAGTTTCTTGCCGACCTCCGCGTCGAGGCGCGGGTAGGTATATTCCAACGCGATGTCCTGCTTCGCCTCTAGGAGCGCTTTGGTGTCTATGGGTCTATTACTGCTGCTGGCGCCGCCTCTCCCCTTCCCATCCTGCTGCTCAGCGCGCGACTTGGTAGACTTGGCTAGGGCGTCGATGTCGTTCCATTTGTTCACGCTTGAGCGATCGGGCGCCGAGTCCCATTTCCGCCGCAGCGCGTCCGCGAGCGGTTTATCAGGGAGCAGGGAGAGGAGCTGCTCCGCCTGCTCCGGTTTGCTGAATGTGTCCTGCTCAACGAGGATTGTGGAGGCGAAGTACGGCTTGAGGATTTCCAAGCTGCGCGCGATGTGCGGGTGCAGGGGGCGTTTGAGGTTGACTTTCTTACCGCTCTGGCTGCCGCCGCGGATAGCTTCGAGGTAGCCCGTGATCGCCTTGCGGCGGTCATCGGGCAAGTCGCGGGCGCGCCGGTCGCAGACCCAGGCGTGCGCACCGCGGCGGCCTGAATAGACCCAGAGGATATGCTCGAAGCCGAAATCCTCGCGCAGGGCTGCGTCAACGACTTTGATGGCCATGGTGGCGAAGGACCAACACTTTTGGCAGATATTGGCCTTCGTGCAGCAAGTGCGGATGTCGTCGTAGTCTGTCAGATCGATGTCAAAGACTAGTTCTTTGGAGACGGGTCTGAAGCGGCTGGCTTTCCGGAGAGACTTGCGGTCGCGCGGGTTTGTGCTGTAGATGGGTCCGATTTCAAAGCGGGTAGGTTTTAGGTGGAGGATTTCTTTGCGGAGGCTGTTTTGATCCTGTTTAGTATGTTATTTCTCCAGGTGTAGCAGTTCGTTTTTGCTTCTTTTTTTCTTTTTAGGTTGTTTACATACAGCTCTGCGGTTGGGAATGATTGATAACGTAGAACGGCATTGTTTTGAAGTGTGAATGAGAATTCTCGGTTCCCAAAGTCCGGCGAGGGTTTCACGCCGTGGTTTAGCCATTGGAAGAAGTATCTAAATGGAAAGAGGCGTAGGTAGAAAGCGTGCATTATGTCTGAGTCTATTTGCACTGTAGCGGGTTCAGATGGTCTAGACACACGATTTAGATTCGAATTTGCGCAGCGTGAGAGGTTGTAAGGAAGCATACATACTTGGGAGGCGGCTCTGGGGAGCTTTCAAGCTTTGAGGTCGCAGCAGCGCTGGACGCCGGAAACTCTTCGTCATCATCGTCGCTATCGAATAGATCTTCTAGTTTGATAGCCTCTATGGAATTGGGCTTTGCGGCTTCTCCTTGTTGCGCGGTGGTCGCCGCGGAATCATCATGGTTTCCACTTTCAGGTTTGACATGGCCAGTATCTGACTCCGGACCATCTGGTAAAATATCATTGTCTTCTTTGTCGGAATTTGACATAGTGGGCAGCGTAAGGTGATTGCTTGTGGTTGCAATTCTGCAACTGTCCGATGTCTGATATCTGATTTCTTTTTGCCGGTCGTGGGAGACGCGACAGAGACGCGACGCGAAATCCTATTAAACCTGACTAGGTAATTTATGCGCGCGTTTACCTGCCGCTTAATTTCAGTGCTACTATTGGCCGATCTAGCGCCATGGAGCACCTTTTGGCAACTTCATCGACGCCCGAAAAGGCAATATTAACTTCATCTTCAACTTATACAAGCTACAAGACGTTCGTTGCTGTCTGAACAACTTGGTAGCGCTGATTTGGAGCTACACCTCATGCTACAGGCCTGCCATCGGCCTATAATAAGCTGCTGACATTCCCTGGTGCTAAAATAGCCGTTCACTTCTCCAGGTTACTAAGTTTTGCACTTTCGCCTGTTTATGTACCCGTGTGTATTCTGCGCCCATCCCATCATGACGTTGATCATATAAGCCGATCACTTCCTGAAGGCTAAATGACAATGGCTCCTGTCGTGATTTTTCGGGGTTACAGACCCCTGTCCGCTGAACTAACCTAAAACCTGAAGATCGATCATAGGGCGTGGCGTTGCTCCGTGTCCGCCGATAACCGGTGATTGGAATCAGAGCTCGGAACTCACTCAGGCATGGATTGCCCCGTTCATTCAAACACCAGAACGCAGTCTACACGTGTTTATGCAGGCCATTTGGGATGGTGTCTGCTTGGATTTGTAGTTACTGCACGGACGGTTTTCATCATCTCCAATCAGGTCTGACAAACCAGCCTCTAACCACCCTACTGCCAGACATTTATCCCAGTGCTAAACCTAATCAAGGATCAGGAAGAGCCCTATCTTAGTTCTTGGAGCTGGACAGGTTCCGCCCTTCCGAATGGGTTAAATAGCGCTAAGGAAATTGGAGATGTCGGTGACTCGAAGGGCAGGGGAGGAATATAATGCTTATTCCCTGAGCGAAAATTGGCGCTTGATTTTTTGACTTCGACATCTTTGGGAGCTGGATACATTCCAATCCGCTTCAAATATTTTGACCTTGAGCGACGTGGAGCTTGGTGCTCTTAATTAAGTTGATATCAAAGTATCTTGATATCGCAGCAGGGACGCTCCTTTCTTTCATTCCCCCCCGTTAGCAATTTTCCACAATGAGCAGAACCTCGGTGCAGCTATCACTCCCGAGCACATCTCACCATGCCATTATAAGTCCTCTACCTACAGCAAACTCCGGACGTCTCGTGGCGCCTGCATTGGTTGGCTCTAATAATGGATCACAAATGGAATTGGTTCAAATTCCTCAAACGGCTGAAAATATCCCCAATAATGAGGGGACACGGCCTGGCCGTATGTCCAAAGGAATGGCAGCCGTGATAATCATCTCAGCGTCAAGCATGGTTTTCATGAACTCGGTTTTAAACGGCATGTTGACAGTAGGATTGCCATCAATTGCTCGGGATACCAATTTGCCCGACAGTCTCATGCTATGGTGAGGCATTGCCATTTCGCGGTCTATCCTAGGATTTTGTGTTCTTGGTATTAATTTACATCTTCAACTTCCAGGCCAGCATCGGTTTTCGGCCTGACTTGTGGCTGCACGCTTCTGCTCTCAGGGTCCATCGGGGATCTTATCGGCAGCCGCACCGTCTACCTCACAGGTAGCCTTTTGCTTGCCGCGTTCACTTTAGGCTGTGGCCTGGCAAGAACCGGTATCCAGCTGATTATGTTCCGCGCGATTTCCGGAATCGCCATATCGATGTGCCTACCCGCTGCTGTTAGCATTATTACCACCTCATTCCCCACGGGCAGGGGGAGAAATATTGCTTTCGGCTGTCTGGGCGCTGCTCAACCAGTGGGCTTTTCTATGGGCATTTCCCTCGGGGGTGTACTGGTTGATACCATTGGCTAGCGATATGGGTTTTACATTGTCACTTGTGCCACCGCCCCGTTCTTTCTCCTTGCCCTCTGGGGAATTCCCAAAGATCCTCGCAAAACAGCCCCTGTTACACGCCAACGCTTAGTCTCTGAAATTGACTGGGTAGGAAATGTTCTCATATGCGCCTCTCTCGGAATGTTCTCCTACAGCTTCGCGTACGTCAAGCGGCCCCCACTTCCCTTCCAGCCTTATATTCAATATATTATCTACATAAGCCATTATTACTAACATCCCCTTTTCTAGTATAATGTCTGGCGGCATAAAGTCTCTCATCCGTCCCGGGAATCTAGTTGTCCTCATTCTATCCGCCCTCTTCCTCGTCGCCTTCATACACTGGGTAATCCGCCAAGAATCCCTCAACCGCGTCGCCCTAATCCCACCGTCCCTCTTCCGCTCCACCCAAAGTAGCCCCAACCGCGCCCGCAACTTCTCCGCAGTCTGCATCTCCGTCTTCTTCACTTGGGCCATCTTCAACGGCCACCAATACTTTACAACCCTCTACTTCCAAAAGGTCCAACACCTCTCCTCGCTGGAAACATCCGCCCGCTTCGTCCCCATGATCGTCTCCGGCGCCCTCGCGAACATAATCACAGGCCTCGTCGTCGGCCGCATCCGCGCTGATATCCTCTGCGTCGGCACTGCGGCTGTTTCAGCCATCGCACCGCTCCTAATGGCCTTCGCTGACCCGTCGTGGTCCTACTGGACAGCGGCGTTCATTGCGACAGGAGCAATCCCGATATTGGCAGATACTCTCTTTACAATTTCCAATCTCGTGATCACGTCTATTTTCCCGCCGAAGACGCATGGGTTGGCTGGTGGGGTGTTTAATACCATCTCGCAGATTGGGATGTCAGTGGGGCTGGCGGTGACGGCGGTTATTTCTAATGCAGTGACGGAGGATGAGAGACGACAGCTTGCGAGTGGTGGTAAGGTTGGCCTGGGCCATGATGAATATGCCTTGTTGAAAGGGTATAGGGCCACGTACTGGACATTGTTCGGGGGGAGTGTTATTATTGTCGCGCTGACTTGGTGGGGATTGAGGCGTATTGGGAAGGTTGGCCTTAAGACAGAGTGAGCGGGGGAGCATCATTCAAAAACTTTTTTTTTCTTTCTTCCTCTCGCCTAGGGGTGTGGATGATTGCCTTTCGACGCAACATTTTATGCTCCCTTATGCATATTACTTGCATTTCTTGTGATCTTGAGATATGGAGGATGAATCGGCTAGCGGGAAGTTTGGCTTTCAATTTCAGAAAAAGGTAATACAAGGATAGATCGTGTTCAGAAGAAGAGTTGAAAGTTTTGTTTATAATAATCAGGTTCATTTATTCATCGCTAAGGTTATCTAAATTGACCTCTCAATTAAACATGGAGGAAGTGGATATATAAACATAATGCATCCCCGTACCTAGGCTCTAGACACGGCGACGAGCAGGGGTCTTTCCTATATTCGTTTCAGTGTGCCTCAACTAGTTTACTGCTAACCTGAGTTTTCTCCTTCAGCAAACCCTGAGGTTCCTCTGCAACCTGATCATTTTGAGCCTGCTCATCTCTGATCTTCTGAAGGAGTGTTGGATACTATATTGGCAAAATTGACAAGGGGGTCAGTATCAGCTCTCTATGTATAGATAAAACAAAGTTAGCAAGGAATATACACATACCCAACGCTCTCCAACGTCTGGATGACTCTTAATCCGATTCATCAGTGTCGCTTCCCCTAGATGACCCCATCTTCCCTTCGAAAACGTAAACTCAATATCATCCTGCCGGATGCCGTTGCGCTTGATAACCTCCTCACGCAGCGCTTTGACGTGCGTGGGCACGTCCATGCTTTCGAACGTAGCGTCGTAGCTTACACCCTGGAAGAAGGGGACGCTGTGGCGGGCACCACTACCCCGCGCGGGGCTTAGGACGCGGTGGGTAGTGCTACATAGACAAATATAATTAGCTAGAGTCGCTTTCGGGGATCAAAGGGACGGGGAAAAAGAAAAAAAAAAAAGAAAAAAGGGGGGGGGGGGGGGATTAAAAAGCCCACCTCTGACAAACCCCCTGCGTCATAGCCTCCAACCCCTGCCCAATCGCTACGACAAACGTCCCATCAATGGGCGGACAATCCACCCACTCCCCCCGATGATTCTGCACCTGCAATCCACGATGGTGGCTCGCCTGCAATAAATAGCTCGTAAGCATACTATCCTTATGCGGGCCCACGCCCTGGCTCTCACCCTCATCCCCTTCAATGCCCAGCTCTTGCAGATCCGGATACTTGACAATCTTCAGCTTGTGCTGCTGCTCCTTGTCGAAGAAGCGCTCAAAGGCGTTCGCGGGCAGCCCGATCGCTTCTGCCACGAGCGAGATGAATTCCATGCTGATCGCGCCCATCTTGGTCATGTACTGTTCGTAGACGGGGCGGAAGTGGGGAAGGGATGTGGGATCGGGCCATTGGTTCGGGGCTAGGAGATTGTGGTAGAGAGGGTCGGATGGGGAGGGGGTGGGATGTGTGGTTGAGAGGTCTATTTGTTCGCGCCAGTCGGTTTTGAAGCGTGTTATTTCGTTGCCGAGGCGGGAGTAGCCTGTTTAGAAGGGATGGAGGGAGTGTAATCAATTATTAGCCTTTCGGTTCATTTGGTTTTGCTTCCTATATATATCATCTTCAAGCGGTGGTAGCAATATCATACCCAGAAAACTAGGCGCATTCTTCATCTCAATCTCCAACTTCTTCTCCTCCGGTAGCTCGAAAAATCTCTTCCCCTGCTCAATAACCTCCTGTATCAGCTTATCATCGACGCCTGTGTTCTTGATATAGAGGAACCCGACTTCCAGAAGCGCGTGGCGGAGTGAGTCAAGGAAGGCCGGCTTCGTTGCGGGGTTGCGCGCCTCGGAGAGATCGAGGATAGGAATGGAGCTGAACGACATTGTTGATATATATGTTTGTATATATGATGATATCAAAGAATGTGAGTGGACGAGCAGGACATGCTTCTTATATGTGTTAGACAGACGGGATTAAACCCATACCCGGTGGTGTCATTGCGGGTAGGAATTGTGGGCGCATTTAGTGAGGGGATTTGGAACTAAATATGACGACAGATTTATTTATCCTCGGCCGGGAATAGAAAAAGTTTATATTGTTCGCCGCCGAAGACAAGGGACAAGGACCTGGCAAAGCCGAAGCTGGTATATAAAACTGGCATTTATCTCAGATAGCACAGCGCAATTTATATACAAATGAAATCTAACAAGTTAACTCAGGAGAGAGCCGCGGATTTGCAAAGAAGTTGCCTGTATTAGAAACTTTTTCACAGCCCGCTAGATATTTAACTTAGCCAAATCCTATTGAAAAGAAAAACACCGCATCCTCAATTCAGTACACGAAGGCCTTGCCATCTATTCTATATTTATATGGCAACCGTATTCGCACTGGTGTTGAAATGTTTAACAACATCCTCAAACAACGTATCAACACCCGGCAAGACAAATGATGGTCCAATGTCAAAGATATCAGTCAGGTTGCCCGCCCGACTTTCCCTCGGCGCACCCTGACCATGGTCGATTTGCCGTGTTATCGGCAGAGACGCTCCAGCTCCAGCTCCCACAGGCAACGCACGTTCGAGCGGGCCACATGTGCCGAATATGTTCTCCAGGCCAGTCTGTATCAGAGAAGAGGAAGCATCGGCCGTAATCTGTGGCACGAGCTGTTTCCAATCACCCGACCCGACCCGCTGGATCTGCGCAGCGGCATCGACCAGGATGTATTCACCGGTCCGGAGATTGGGGAGTAGAGCGCGACACGCGTAGTCTAGGGTTGTCTGGAAGATAGGGCCCAGGGTTTTCATGTCAAATATGGCCAACTGGTGACGGGGTTTCCCTTGTTTCTGCTGCTGCTCCTTGTGTGATTTGCCGGTACCTTTCCGCTTAACGCAGGCGAAAGAGATGGCGAAAGTTTGGCTTTTATGGTTCATGGCCAGGAACTTTGGTAGGGATCCCATGGGGTAGATTGCGTCATCTTCCATTTGCAATACTAACTTGACTTGATCGGCCACAGTATCCCAAACGACCAACTGGTCGGAGAGGATGACCATGTGCCGGTCTAAAAAGCCTACCTCGGGCGGTGTGCCAAGGTACAGGTTATCCCGTGCGTGGCAGATCTCGCCGCTCTTGGGGTTGATGAGATAAACTAGCCTCGCTCCGCTCTGATCAGTCCAGCAGACAGCGAGAACCGAACCGTCGTCTGAAAACGCCAGGCTGGCCGATTTGGAAGACGCGGAGGATTCCGAGCCCTCTGCGAATTTTTCGAGCGCGATGCTATGAATGGCTCTCCAGGTCTGGAGAGGTTGATTCTGGTTGTCTTTGATCGTCTGGCCACTGCGATAGCGTGCACTGGGAGACCAGATTCGGACAACGGCGTCTTCCCCAGCAGTGACGAAAGCTGAGCCTGCAGGATTGGATGCTAGATCCAGCACTCGCGCAGACCCGAGCGAAGAATTGAAGTGAGGCGCATCAATCCGGGTACTTAGTTCCCACTCCTTCATGCTTTCATTCCAGCGCCAGAATTTCAAAAAGATTTCCCTCTTTTCCTTTCGAGACGTAATCGTCGTAGGATATAGAACGCTCACATCTTGGGGATACTGCAGCCATTCATCAACTGTTGATAGCCACTCCCCATCTGACGTTATCCCGAGGAACTTGACATCAGGTGTTGTTAAATCTGTTCCTTGCGGTCCGGTCTTGATTACGGTGGTATTGGTTCTAGCAAGCGCTTGACGGGATACGTGTTGGTTGGTGAGTACATCAAAGGTCTGAAGCGACGATGCGCTGGGGGGACTGCCTGGTGATCGGCCGGGGGAGGAGGAAACTGCCGCGAGGAGATGCCCGGAGTGTATGGGGTGTAGAACGGCAGGTAAGCGAGCTAGGTCGGTTTCGACTTGTTTCAAGGCTACTGATCTATCCTTTTTCGTTCCACGCTGTAATTTCCGCGCGACGATATCATCCACTTCTGATGGTAACTGTAGGCCGCTCACGCTAGCAATAGGGCGCAACTCTGCTGTAGAAAGGACCATGGCAGAATTATCTGCAAGCCGAACTGCGTAAAATTTCCCTGTGCGAGACACGACAATGGAACAGATGTGTGACGACAAATGGGGTAGGAACTGTTTCCTTCCTGTATCAAGCTGATATTGTACGATGACAGTTTCCGAACCGCCCGAGATAATATAGTTACCTGCATAGACAAGGATTAGCTCTAAATTTCAGTATTCTGTTTATCCTGAAGGGCAATTATATATTTACCGTCTTGCGACCATTTCACAGTTTTGACAGCGTTCCGATGCCAATGCAGACGGTTTGTCACTAAACTTGTTCCGGCTTCGGATTTGTTCTCGGTCCGCAGTAAAGAATTGAGGATATCATGATAAATCAAGATTGCACCCTCCTTGTCTCCCAAAGCTAGGTCGACTACTCGTGTGGCAGGAGAAGATACCTGGTCCAATGGCGAACGTTCTCGGATATCAGAGCAGGTAACAGAAATCGGTAAGGCAACCTCTAGCCAGGTATACTTTATAGAATCCAACGCTTCCAGTCGCAGCTTAGCTGTGTAGCCCACAAACAGCTGGTAATCAGCAATGGCTATAATGACCCTTCCATCAGAGGATACTTTGAATTCGTTGGGCGTTGTGGACATTTCCCGAATGACTCTGGTATTCCAGGAATCGGATCCCCCCTTGGTGTGCATGGCTATCTCTGCTTTCCTCGAGCCAGCGTCATTTATTGAGACCACAACATCCTCATCTGAGGAACCCTGGCCACTGGAGCCAGTACAGATATCAATAGCATATATTTTGAGAGCAGCATCCCAAGTTTCAATCACTTCCCCTGACGTCCAGTCCCACTTCACAATGGCTCCAGAAAGCGTCGACATGTAAAGATGTTCCGTATCGACAAGGGAGAGTTTGCAGTCAGTAATGCGCCGCATCTCTTTCTGTATCTCCAGTGTCCGTACCACACTGGAGGTCGCTACAGAATAGACCCGAGCGAAAGTGTTGGAGAAGAGTATGAAGTGTCTATGTTTTTGTTAATATCGTGATTCCGTACCATGGTAAGAGATAAATAAAATGAGAACGGGGGGAAGATGGGAGCTCAGTACTGACTTTTCATCAGGTGTGATAATCGTGTCAATAGCACTAAATCTTCCGCCAACCGTACGTGATACGGACCATTGAGCTGATGCCCCTGGTTTCTCCGAATGTTGAACCTCCCCTGATGATTTCCCCTTGCGCTTTGAGACAGTGGTGGTCGTTTTAGTCGTAGAGACATCACTAGTCACAGTCAGGGAGTTATCCGCTGACTGAGGCCCCTTCTCCTTTTGACCATGCTTTTCCTTGTTTCTTGGACTTTTCGAAGGTATCTCTTGGTCTACACTATTTTTCTGTCCTGGAGATTTACCAGGAGTGCTTGATGGCTTCGCAGGCTTCGGAGAAGTGGATTTCTCGTTGTTGGTAGTAGAAGCGTCACGACCGATCTTACGTCGCTTCGTCCGATTTTGTTCAGGACCGATCTTCTGGTCGTCTTTCGCATCATCAGCCGCCAATTGCCGTTTATCCGCCTTCCGTACGGGAGATATTTTTGAGGTCATTCTTCTGAGGATTCGGAGGAGGCAGACTCAAAAGCACTTGTTAGGCGGGTCCAGGTAAATGTCCTAGGGTAAAAGGACGCACTGCAAACACATAAGGTATATCTGCAGCCTTCTGCTATTCCATCGAGGTCTGAATAATAGTGATTGCGTGTAGAATCTCCAATGCTCTCTCCCGCACTTGGGCAGGAGAGAAAAAAATATATAAAATATGCGTTTGCGCTAGAAAAAAACGATTGCCGGCAGAATCGCACACCGCCTCTGCGGTCCTTAGTTACATAAGCAGCAGTCTTTGGATTGCGGACAAAAAATCCATGCCGCGAATCAACTACGCTACGGCGATCTCAACGTCCTGCACAACGCTCTTGTCGCTATCGCAAAGATTCTAGAAGTGCTGTGCGTGTTGAAGGCCCCATATTATACGGGTGCAGCTCAGTTTTACTCATTACACATCCTCGCACGTCTAACCTCCAAACCCCCCTCATCAACCACTGCCACCTTTTATCGTCTTTTCTCCGCCGAAGCGTTCACAATGATCATCCCCGTCCGCTGCTTCTCGTGTGGGAAGGTATGTGTCTTACGCAGGCGCAGCAGTTTATTCACTCAGAAAATGAATTTAACATAGGTATAGGTTGTTGGTGACCTTTGGGAACGATATCTAAAGCTCCTCGATGAGGGCGTCCCCGACGGGTGAGTTAGCTTCAGCGTTTGAACATACGTATATATGGATCAAACGTATATATGCGCGAAAGGAGACAATTGGCTGATAAGGGGCAAATCTCACGTAAACAGGGATGCGATGGACCAGCTTGGTTGTAAACGATACTGCTGTCGACGAATGCTCATGACCCATGTTGACCTTATTGAAAAGCTTCTCCGGTAAGGATACAAAACATGCATTTTGCATCTACCTTCAAGCCTAGCACTTTGTTCTCCTTACTGTTTTGTACATATTCATGTTTGGTTCCTTTGCTGATCATTTGGTGAATTATATCTATGTATAGGTATAACCCTGCGGAGAGAGACCGAGCGAAGACCCAGCTGTAGCTACTTAAGCTCTTGCATCATAAAAACAACTACGTTGTTGGATCAGGTTCATGAGTTATTATTTCTATGAAACTCAAATCTACGGAGCTCCGCAAAAACACTCATAACCCCTGCGGAATACAATATCAACGTCCATTTTCTAGCCCCCTTCGGACCTCCAGATAACGCCGTGATGATGACCGCCTTTTCTGGCCCCTCCTCACTTCGACGAAATCCAAGCCGATCTACATACTGGTCAAAAGTCAAAATCCCCTTTTTGTTATTATAGTCAATCATGATTTGACGAACGACTTCACATGAATCCATTGCACCTGCCTGTTACTTCTCAGAGGGTTGGAGAATATACGATATAGAATCAATACCTCCCTCCCCCAAATAACTACGACAAATTTGTATACTTTTATTTTTCCTCTTTTTCTACTGGATAACATACTTCGTCCATAATTAAAGGCACACTAACTAATGCTTGAGGCTCATGGGAATTTGTTTATTGATGGGACTGGATAAGGGATCGGGGGACGTGCACAGCGCATTTGAAATGATTGTTGTTGCTCTCTATGATGAATGGGAGTGAAGGAAAAGAAGGTATATTTATTCACTCTTTTATCATTAACTAACTACCCATGGTTCAGATGAGAAAATGTACACTACTATATTCATTAGAGACAAAAAGAAACGTATCATACAGATGGAGGAAAAAAAACTATTCTTTTCTTTGCGGTGGGCTGGACTAACTGCATTCCCACCCTCTCCCCGCTCTTCACAAGCAGCAGCATTACTCATATCAAACTAAAATCAAGGGGCAACGATTGAACCTACGCTGTAGCTCTCCATCGCAGACTTTTTGGGGGCCAAACACTAAGAAACCTTGTTGCACGTTGCAATGATGCATGGGTGTTGTTAGTCGGTCTTCAATATTAATCTTGTAGTAGTTGCCGAAGCAGGGAGGGTTTTACAGCTGGGACCTTTTCATTACCTTTCTTTCTTCTCTTTCTTTCTTTCTTTTTTGTTCTAACTACCATCGGAGATCGGCCGTGGAGAGTTGCGAAGAATCACGGGACAGGGGATAATACAAAATAAGAGTTGAATGGACTGTCAATTTCATAATATTTTAAGCAGGAAGTTGACTTATGATATTTTCCCTCAAAGGGGACCCGTTTCTCAGATACACATCTCATGCGTAGGGCATATATCCATGTCGCTGTTCAGCAGTGCCTTCGCCATCTTTTCGAGACGGCGCATAAGGGGGCGTCCTCACGGTATGGACCCCGGATCGGGACAAGGCAGTTGCGCATCCGATGTTCGTTATGTTATCGAGGAGATATTGTACTCAAGTGCCTGGACAGGAAAAATTCCCCGCCCAAGGCAGAGACAGTAGGTAGGGTGTACCCCCCCCCGCAGCAAATAAACACTAGTTAACTTAATAATAATACCAAGCTAACCAAAATGCGGGAAGTTAAAAAAACATCCATGGGACAAAAATAAAAAATCCATCAGCACTAATTAAAAGAAATAAGTCTTGGTCTCGAAAAAAGATCGAAGGATGCTTGAAGTTATTATTATTGGGACACTGACAACTTGTCATGAATTTGTTTCGTTCCGGCCCACGCTATGATGTGAATAAACCCATTCTCTGGGGATTCGTTTGCTGTCCCACCACCCCGTTTCCGCGTCCATTCGTCAGAAACAACTTAAAACAACCGCTGTTGGGAATGCGAGAGCCTGGGACCCGGGAGTGTTGGTCTCTTGCTAGAGCGGAGTTTCTTTATGATCTTGGTAGAAATAATAATCAATAATAATATGTGAATAAGCACACAACTGATCAATAATCAATAATGGGTTAAATATGGTCGTAGTCAATAATAATAATAAGAACGTATCAATCGGCCCCCAACTTCGTCGAAGCACTAAACAACTTATTTAAGTCAAGCGGTGTCTGTCGATGGATGCTCAGGCAGCCTGCGATCCATAATAAAAAAATCATGAATGGGGTTGGTTGTATGTAGCTGAGCGGGCTGGCTCTCGGGGACCTGGAGGCAAAGTTCTTTCAGCAGCCACTGACTGGTCTTTGGAATAAATAATGTTGTTCCTTTTGCTGCTCCCTTGGAGTTGGGTGCGCCCTCTCGGGGGGGGGGGGGGGGTTGGTTTCTGGTCTTTGCGAGTGGTGCGGTGCAGCAGGCCAACCACACCTGGGATATCTGAGCTGGCCAAAGCAGCGCGCGAGACCGCTAATGCAGCTGTCGAGAATCAACGCGGGCTGTGAGTGGTGGACGCGGGCTCTTGGGGGCCTTGGTGTGTGTCGGCCATCACTTTTGCCCAGCGCTTAAGCACTGCTGAACTGTTTGTAGCGAATCCCTATCCAAGAGGCCCTGCGCAGTTGGTCTGGTCGCGATTGGTCTGTCTCTGCATGGTTTACCCATGCTCGAATTTGTCGGCTAGTTGGATTCTCGAACTAAGTCTTCAACTATTCCTTCTTGAGTCAGTAACTTATTAGTCGTTCAAGTGTGTCTTCAAGCAGGACGCGGACGAAGGACTCTCAAACCGGGGGAGAAGAAGAAGAAGAAGGAGGAAAGAAGACGACGAAGACAAAGCAAAAAAGAAGCAGAATAATCCCGACAAAGCGGCCATCCGAATCCCTCCCCTTTCAAGATACTCCGTACTTAATCACCTAAGGACTTGGACCGGACCCGTGGGCAAGCAGCGCGTTCCTTTGATTCTCTGCCCGTTGATTCGGGGTTCCTTGACGAAATAACTACTAAATAAGTTATAATAAATAAATAAATAAATGACTAGTTATCTTTTGGCCCCCTCTCTTTGTCCTGGGTCGGTCAACGACTCAACGCGCTGCTCAAGCCTCGCCCTCCCCACCACCACATCCCGCCAACAGACAGGCGGACGGACAGACGGACAGCCCATACGATACGGACGGACAGGCTAACCCTCGGACTACACGGGTGAGCTCCAGCAGACAGGGAAAAAGGACGTGCAGTGGAATAAAAGTCCTGTGCGGCCCAGCAAGTGGTCCATCGTCATACTCGGAATCTGGTTCGTGGTGAAGAAGCTATATCACAGACCGGCATCGTTGGTCTTGTTCCAACAATCTTTTTAATACTCGGCCATTCCATACGGTTTGTATAGCTAGAGTTGCTGACTCTAGTGGCTATTTAATAGTTACCAGTGAGTCTGCTCCCTTTTTAGTAATCGTCCTACGGAAAATGAAGTACTGTACATAACTATGTCGAACACCTATTCTGACCTATCTTTGGCCGACTTCCTCCAGTCTCTGGCTCTCCATCCAACAATCACCAACATACCATATTATCCGCATCCTGAGAATGGTCATTGAATGATATTGTCAATCCCTATCAACAATCCGATCCCCCTCTCTAAGAGAAAAGGTGGAGATGTTGGCCGTTAGATCTCCAGCGTCCGTTTCCTCCGGCAATCAAATATCTGCTTTCTCCCCATATTCGGCTTCCCCAAGCTCTCCAACTCCATATTCAATGTGAGTTGGGACTCAAACCTAGCTGCAGTTTTTACAGTTATTCTGTTCCATGGCTCTCTGACTTAGACTTCCCGTACTCTACTCTACACAGGCAATCCGATAGACCCCCGTCGACCCAGAGATCTCCATCCCCGTCCCAAATGTCTTCCAACTCTAAAACAACCGAGTTTTCTAGATCTTCTCCCAAGGCGTTCACTCCAAATGGATTGGATCCTTCGGACAACCAAGATGGCATCACTAACGGGGATATGGAACGCTCTATCACAAGGACTGGAAGTGCACTTAGTGTATGAAGTCTCCCACTCTACGCACACAAACAAACACACACACCCACACCCACACACACCCACACCCACACACACACACCCCCCGCACAATAACTCGAGAGCTAGCTTCAATTAACACTTTTGTAGATACGCACTTCCGGCGCCGGAGTGAGCGACTTCAAACCCAGCTCGGACGAAGACGATGCACCCCAATCCGTAATACATGTTCCGTCCGGCTTTGGTAAATTTGTAAGCTTTTCCTCCCCTTTTTCCTCCCCCTTTGTTTTTTTTTCTATTATTATTTTCTATTTAGAACATCTATAAAAAAAAATATGTCACGGGAGACTAATAATTTGTAGCTAGACAATGTTCCTTCGCCGCGCGCAGAGCCCTCCAGGTCATCGTCTGCACTATCAGACGTGACAGTTACTTCACCCCTAGCGGGTCAAAACGACAACGACAACATCAACAATAATGTGAGAAAGGTTTGGCTCCACTTTTGACAAGCCGAGATGTGAATTTGATACTAAAGGACCCGCTTCAGAAACCCACTACTCCAGTATCGCCCCCGCCAATCACCACCACACATATCGCACCCCCCGAGCACTGGTCAGATCGAACAACCCCTCGTGCTCAGACAAGACAGGAGGTTGAAGATTTCAAAAAGAGAGCTAGGAAAAGCAATCTTGAAGGTGGGTGTTTTCTCATAACCGTAGAAGTATATATTACCAGTTTAACCTGACGCTGGCTTCTCCCAGATATACCGGAGACCTTTGATGTTGAGCAAGCTGCTGAAGATACCGAAGATGAACCAGAGACTCTCCGGGATATGGGAGAGATCACAACAACTTCCGTTGGCAAATTTGAGGCTAGGGAGCACGAATTGAAGGCTTTAAGGACGGCATTATCAGAATGCTGGACTTTATGTAATACTCTAGCAAGCCTAAGTTACATTCATCGCGAGCGATTGTTTAACTTTTCGGGGAAGGGAGATATGCAGGAACAGGCCTGGAAATCGTGCTGGAAACTTTGCCAAAATCTTTACGAGAACCGCGATAACGATGACCACCACACCTACGTGCGGCCAACACTAGATCTTTGCCGGGACTTTTGTCAAGCATTGTTCGAAGTTCGCGTCCGCGATAATGAGGTCACCGACTCGGTGCTGCGTGTGAGTTTCGAGCTCAACAACCATCTGTATAATACGCATGATCGAAACCTCCCCGAGGCATTCCGACACCGGACCCTGGACTTTTATATCACGCTGTGTCATCGCCTTATGAAACAGCGGACACGACTGGCAAAGGAAACAGACACGCTACTAAAGGCCTGTTGGTCCCTTGCAGAGATGTTATTCAGCCTGCGGCAGCGCAGGCGAGAAGGCAAATCCCCCGACGAAGAACTACTCGGATCAGCGATTCAGGCTTGTTGGGAACTGTGTGATCTTTTCCGCCAGGGATGGACCCAAATTCGACCAGACCGTGGCACTCCGCGGCCCAGCCAGACGACTTTCACACAGGCATTTTACCAGGCTAAACGGTCAGAGTACAACATTATGAGTGATGAAGATACGCAAAGCCGCGGAGGAAACCCCGAAACGCCCACAACCATATTCGAAGACACCGCCACAGTCTCACCCGAAGAAGCACATGTCCCTAACATCCTCCTTCTAAACCCGAGCAACAACCAAGTAACCCCTCCCAAGTGGTCGTCCAACTCCTCCACATTATCCGGCTACTCGCAATCATCATCTGGCAAAACTGCCTCGTCCAACAACACCGTCAAATCCCCCGCCGAGGACCCGAACCTCACCTGCCTGAAACTCCTGATCATCCGCGCCGCCATGAACAGCGGCTTCCAACGCGGCACGACCCAGACCTTATCAGCGTTTGTCAAATCGCTCTCCTCGGATTCTTTCGGGACGCAATTGTGGCAACGCACGCTCCTTGACAACTATAAGAAGCTGGTGGTGTTTGACTCGGCGTTCCGCGACGTCGCGCCGTCCGCGCGGGCGGGCGCGGTGGATGTTGCGAACGCTGTGCGGTCAATGGTTCAGCATAATGGGCAGTATATTTGGCTGCAGGACCTATACCGGCTTGTGTTTGGTTTCCATACTGAAGAGGCGATGCACCGGAAGAGCGTCACGGTCCAGACGTAGATTTCTTTTTCTTTTCTGGAGAAATTAAAGCTGACTGCTCGTGTGTGTGTGTGTGAACAGTTATGCTACGCTTCGAAGAATTTTGATATCTATTTATTTTTTTCACAAGCGCGAGTCGCTAATCTGTTATTTAACATTTATTACCTATTTACTGTCTTAACAAAAAGATACAACAACCCCCCCCTTCTCCTACGGGTTTTCTTCTACCATTCTCTTCCTAAACCTTTTTAACCTTCCTCCTTTTCGTCGTCGCAGCTATATCTGCCTTAGCTTTCATAACCAAACCATGCTTCTTTTACTCCCCACCCAGCCCAACCGCACCTCGAAAATTGAACATCAACAATCTAGTTTGAGCTGGCGAGGCCGTAGTTCTCCCCTTTTGCATACCCCCACCAACCCCTTTCCTCTTCAATAACATGAACTACATACTCTATACATACCACAACATCCAAACCACGCCGCATCGTAATACCTTCCCCGGCTCTATATCGCGAATGATTTTTTTTTTTTTTTTTTTTTTTTTTTTTTTTTTTTTTTTGGATCCATCCCTTATTTCTATTTTTCTAGCAGGGCATTTTTATTTTTTATAAATTAAACTTCTGGGGCCATCAAATATATGGATATTTATTCCTCCCGGCCCCCTTAACCCCACCCCACGTATTAATACCCCTTATGTTCCTTTTTTATTTTTGGTTAAATATCCATTAGCAGCATTTCACTAGCTATATATATATATATATATATATACGACCCTTTTGGCCGTCTTATTCTCCATTCTCACTCCCCATCTCGTCATTCTCGTTCTCATTTCCATGCATCATTCCGCCATCTATATGATACCTTTTCTCGCTCGAAACGGTTTTATTTTAAGTGTTAACCAAGAGCCTGGGATGTGATTGATATTTTTTTTGAGAGGACATGTTAGTTGCATAGTATTTATGTAGATTTACCCGTGGGAAGAAAATAATGTTTGTGGATGATGATGATATTATTGCTGAATATCAATCTAAACTCACTGACTGCAAAGTGATTTATTTAATTGGTTATTGTGCGCTTGCATCCGAATCCAGGTTGGATACAAGCTTAATTAAATACCTGGAGGGAAAGATGTTGTTTATACTTACGTATTATTCTCCTTTGCGACGGGAGGCCGTTGGTGTAAATATGAATTTATCGGTTTCTTCCAATTAGTTATTATTCCCTTCTGCTACCCGGTTCAGGCCTTATTATCAGCAAAGTATAAATACGCTTCCAGACGAGATAGTTAAAAGGGTATTTAACTAACCAGGCCTAGAGCCGCCCAGGAGCTAAATCGATGCCCAGCCAAATCAGAGTTGGGTTTCGTTGTTCCAACCGTTGATGCATGCATACGCAGTATATGTACTGTATGTACATGTACATTATTATTTACATGTATGTATGTACATAATTATGATGCCGGCGGTGCTATCATTGTCGACCAACTAACTCTTTGTCTGCGCACGATACCCTCGTTATTTAGCCATTGATGGATTTCCTCGCAGACGACCATCACCAGCCCGTCGGACGATAAATAATGTTGGTGTCCCCCCGCGGATACCATCGCTGGTGGAGAGCGTTGCTCGGACCCATCTTCTTCCCGCGTCGAGGCTCATCCCACGGCCATATCAGCGTCCTGTTGACCTCCTGCATCGCCTTCTTTGCCGTCGTCGATTACCTCATCTTCACCGCGTCGTCCATATCCTCCCCGCGAGAGTCTACAGACACAACCGTCGTTCCCGGGATAAGGTCCGTCTATGTGGCTAGCACGCACTGGAACAACGAGGCGATCCTCCGCAGCCATTGGAATGCCGCCGTTGTGGAACTCGCAAGGAAGTTCGGGAAGGATAACATCTACGTTTCTGTCTATGAGAGTGGGAGCTGGGATGATTCCAAAGGCGCCCTGAGGGAGCTGGATCAACAGCTGGAGGAGTTGGGCGTCGACAGGACCATCATCCTAGATCCAGCCACGCATGAGGATGAAATCAATAAACCGCCTGGAAGGGAAGGGTGGATTGATACTCCGCGGGGGAAAAGAGAGCTCAGACGCATTCCGTACCTGGCCCATATGCGGAATAGATCATTGGAGCCGTTGGAGAGGCTTGTGCAGGCCGGGAGGACGTTTGATAAGATTATCTTTTTGAACGATGTTATATTTTCGGTATGTAAGTGCTATTTATATTGGTGAAGGCAAACGGGGCCCCGACCTCCACAAAAGGTAGGGACAACGGAACTGATATTGATATACTTTAAAATCTAAAACTGCAGATGACAGATATCATAACTCTTCTCAATACCCGCTCCGGCTCATATGCCGCGGCCTGCTCGCTCGATTTCGGAAAACCAGGCCTTTTCTACGATACATTTGCCCTACGGGACTCGAAGGGGTCCCCTGCCTTCTCGCAGCGCTACCCCTACTTCAGTGCTAGACGCTCGCGCAATGCTCTTATAGCCGGCAAACCCATCCCGGTCCAAAGTTGCTGGAATGGGATAGGTGCGTTTTCCCTTGGCCCCGGAGAGATATATAAAACACTAACCCTCCCCCCCCCCCCTTCCCGCGCACAGCAATCTTCGACGCCGCGCCCTTCCAAACCAGCACCAACCCACTCCGCTTCCGCGGCATCCCCGACTCCCTCGCCAAATACCACCTCGAAGGCTCCGAATGCTGCCTCATCCACTACGACAACCCTCTCTCCGCCACCAAGGGCGTCTGGCTGAACCCCAACGTGCGCGTCGGCTATAACCTGGTCGCCTACGAGGCTGCGGCGGCGCGCGTGTGGCCGTCGACGCTCGATGCTGTGCTTGTAGGCTGGTGGAAGGGGTTTTTTGCGTCGATGCTTGATTTGCCGTGGAGGTCTAGGGCGGTTGTGCGGAGGGTTAAGAAGTGGGCGAGGGAGGGAGAGAGTTTTAATAATGAGAAAGAGAGGAAGGGGAATAGAGAGGTTGGGTTGCCGTGTCTGATCGATGAGATGCAGATCATCGTGTATAATGGATGGGCGCATGTTTGATTTGTTCCTTTTTCCCCCTCTTTTTCCCTCGTTGTGGAGGCGTGATATTCAAGGGAGCTTGTTTTGACATTTTCATTTGCATATATTTTTTTATATATGTATTATAGATTTTTCTTCGTTCTTTTTATTTCTTTCCTGCTTTTTTCTATTTCATCGCGTCTATTCTCTAAGATCCCCCCTTTTTTGCTTTGGCTTGAGAACTTGGCTTGAGAACTCGAGCCGGAAAATCAACTTTGGGATTTCATAAGAACATTCCATGTTGAGGCTGCGTGTTTTCTGGTTCCTCCTATCTCCCCGCGCTTTCTCATTTCTTTCATTCTATCATGTGGTTGAAGATGAAGAAATTTACCAACTCGCAACCCCCCTCCTCCCATCAAACCCACCCCTCAACGGCTCTGCACGCACAACCTTCCCTTTCAAAACCGTCTGCTTCACAATCCCCTCACAATCCGCCGGCCGCACCCCTAGCCAGCCAAATCATCTGCTCCGCCTCGCGCCGATATATCAACACGTTCGCGGCGAACTTGTGCCCTCCCACATGGGACACAATATAGGATACCTACGCCGCCGGGCCGGGTGTCGTCCTCGTCGCGGTAGAGGCCCAGCGGGCGCAGGTGGCGCTCTAGCTCGCGCCGGATGAGAGGGGTGGAGATGCCGCAGCGGGCGTCGCGACGGTTATGGGAGCAGAGGAGGATTAGGTGGTCGCGGGGGCAGGGGCGGGTTGTTAGTTTGTGGTGGGATGGGTGGGCGGGATGAGGTATTTTGGCCGTTTGGTTTGGCTCTAGCTTCTTCAACTTCTAGCTTTGGTGATGATGATGATGATATTGTGGCGTCCTAGTCTGACTATATCTCTACGTCTGGCTCAGAGGGGTCTATGAAACGCTCCATGAGCTCTGGTAGTCGCGAGACCGTTACTCTGTCGACAAAGGTGAATGAGGGCAAGATGAGGACCGTTGTAGCGTTCTCCTGCCCCAGTCCTTGATCGCCATTGGTGATGTGGTTAATACGCTCCGGATCAATGGACAAGTTCGACGCCGAAATCATCATTTTCTGCGAAAATAAAAATAGGGCTCTTTATTAACCAGGCGTCTCTCAAGGTGAAAAACAGAATCTATAGTTATACAACACGAGAAATACTTACCCCCCTCCTCGGTTGAAACGCCCCCCTCTTAAACCCCTCCATCAAACTTCCCCTCTCACCCTCAACCCTGGGCGCCCAGTCCGCCCTGCCCGTCGCGACAAGTACATGTTTGATGAACGGCTTGACGCTCCCGTACAGCTCCCTGTTGGAATTGAGTTTGAACCGGGCTGGGAATTTGATGGTGCAGTCGGCGCAGTCCTGGTCGCAGTCGGGCCCGTCGACGGCGGGATCGACGATGGGGAAGAGGTCTGTTTTTTTCTCGATTGAACTGGTTTCTGGGGTGGAGAGCGATGTGGAGGTGAAGGGGTTTTGGTATACGAAGGAGAAGAGGGAGCGGAGCATTGTATTTTTCTCTCTCGCCTTTGGTACTCTTTTCACTTCTTTATTTTTACGAATTTTTATATGTTTTTTTTTTTTTTTTTTTTTTTTTTTTTTTTTTTTTTTTGTATTCTCCTTTTCGTATGTATTATTGATTTCCGGCGCAAAAGCAGATATAGAAATGGGTAAAAGCACAAGTATCTTTTGGTTCCCTTTTTTCTCAGCAGACAGAGAACCCGTCGATAAAAGAAATGCTTCTGCCTTGAGGCTGTAGTTGGTAGTTGCATACACATATATTATTGTTTCTTATATGCGCCGTCACCTTGCCGTATACTCCGATATCTCGGTCAAAACCTCCAGCAAGCTCTTTATCTCCGACCCCGAGCTCGACGGAACGTTTGAAACCAGAGACATGAGACATGCAAATAACTCTCTCCGCAGCTCCACAAGTCCAAGCGCAGACACAACCCTCTAGTCTCTCTAGCGCTGCCATCTAGCGCCAACAGTTAACTTAGCGTATATCCGCCTTAGCCCCCGACTCAACCTCGGCTTTTTCGGCTTCGGGCCCAAAAAGGCAATCCTGAGTTGTTGTTTGTGTCCCCTTTAAGTATCTTAAACAGCTTGCGCCGACCAACCATGTCTTACTCCGAGATTCTGCTGACCGCTGGATGGATGTGCTTTGCCCGAGAAACGACACATGGCTAAAAATAACAAAATAATTAAACATAAATCAATAAAAAACAAAATAAAAAAAACAAGGAACACAAGCTCGGCTGTCTGCCATGGCGCCCCCGAGCCGCAGTCCCGAACCGCGCTCAGAAGCGACAAACGCGACACCCGCCACGCATGCGCTCCATCAACCTGCTTCAGACAGCGGCGGCGTTGGCAGTGGTGGTGCATCCTCGTCGCAGGATACCAGGTCTGCGGAATCCACCCATCGCAAGCGGCGGAGAAGAACTATTGCCTGTGCTCCTTGCAGGAATAGAAAGGTCAAGTGTGACTTTGGTTATCCGACATGTAACCGATGCTTGAAGGGGCCCGGCCCCGATGCCTGCATGTATGAATCTCCTGCCCATGCCTTGCACCATCAGTATCAGCATCAGCAACAGCAACATCGAAATCAGCAATTGCCTCATCCATCAGCATCAGCATCGGCATCGGCATCGGCATCGGCATTAGCGTCAGCGTCAACATTAGCAGCAGGCTCATCGGCCTTCTGGCCCCCACATCCACCAGAAGCAAATAGGTCCAATGCCCACCCACAGCCCTTCATAGCTGCACTATCAGAAACCCAGCATCTCGACGAGGCTCGGCTTCGGGAACTGCAACAATTGCTACATAGCTTAACTCAGCAGTCGAAACTGGCTAGCAATGCAGCACCGTCGCCCTTTTCTTCAGCCAATGCAGACTCGCACGCGTACAGGTCCCAGCTGGGTTCGACCCCCGCGGAACCCACTGAATCTTCTGCGCGCGACGATGCGTCAGTCCAGGCGGAGCCGTGGAGCCGCGAGATTCCCAATCGGCACCGGTTCGATGGGAATGAGGGCCGGACGCGGTTTTGGGGATGTAGCAATGGGTCGAAGTTATCATTTGAGGTGAGTTCTTTCTTGATATTTCTGTTTTTATATACAGAATTTCTGCAATGGGTTCGGTATTTTTTATTGTTAAAATGAACCTTTCGGAGTCCTCGTGTTTAAGTAGCAATGCCTAACGGTGTGGGGAAAATAACTAAATATAGCTCGAGGGCCTGAGCAGCTTTATGAAAGAGTTGAAGGCTACAGCCTCTCTTCGCACGCTACATCACGAAATCCGAAAGATTGGGTATAATAAGCACCAGAAGCCCTTATCTGGAGACCTAGCGACAGACAGTCGCTTCCTGAGGAGCCTTCTTCCCACCCGACCAGTGGTCGAGAATTTGATGAACTGCTACTTCTCCTACGTGGGGAAAATGCATCGCATTCTCCATATGCCGTCCTTTCGCGCACAGCTCAATGAGCTCTGGGCGGAAACGAGTGATATCCCTTGCCATTTCATTGTCCAACTCTTCTTGGTCATGGCGTCCGTGTGGAGCGTAAACACGCCGAGTCCACTTACCGCAGCCGGCACGAAGATTTTATCCCATACCGTCGCGACGGACTGGATACGCTGGTCCGAGGCATGGCTTTTCCACGCAAACATCAAACGACCAAACCTGGTTGTTTTACAGGTGCGGTGTTTGCTCATGATGGCCAAGGAGGCCAACTACACTCAGAAGAACCAAGCCTGGAGCTCTGCGGGGACGCTGGTAAAGCTGGCCATGTCTGCAGGATGCCACCGCGAGCCACCGCCAGAAACCAAGATTTCGGTATTCAATGGGGAAATGCGCCGAAGGATATGGGCGACGATTCTCGAATTGGACTTGCAGGCGTCGTTGGACCGTGGCATGCCTCCGACACTGCAACAATCGGATTACGATTGCGCCCCGCCTCTAAACATCAACGACGAAGATATTTGCGAGAGCACGACAGTTAACCCCGAAGAAAAGCCCATCAGGGACATGACAGACACTTCGTTTCAGGTCGCTCTGATGCAGTCCATGGGCCTGAGGCTGCGGGTATGCGCCCTTGTCAATGCGCCGCGTATTTCTCTATCATTAAACGAACTCGCACTGCTAGAAGAGGAGATCAAGCGGAACCTTTCTGATATTCCGGATTGGCAGTATACTGCTAACCCTGACCCCCATGAACCCCCCAGCGCTTTTTTAACCCAGAAACAACAAAAACTTCTATGGCGAACGCTGCTTGAGTCGAATTTAAGACGCTGTCAGCTTTCGCTTTACACCTACAGCGTCCTCGGGGGTTTTCAGGGCTCCATAAATACCCATACGACGCAAGCGCGTCTTGAAGTCGCCATGGTGATTCTCTGCCAACAGCAATTACTCATTGATAGTATCGGGAAACTCGCGTGGTGTGCGTTAGCAGATGTCACTTTTCATGCTGCATTTACTATCTGTCATCATCTGCACGCATCCGATTGTGGTTTCAGTGAGTCCTTTTCGCTTTTTCCTCTCTTACAGAATATGTTCTTATCGCTAGTGGGATGAACATGTCATTCAGCTAACAACGATTTGTTTTGTTTGATTCTCCGCAGCATCGTCTATAGTCCGGCAGATCATCCCCAGCATTACAGATATCCTAATATCCCTCGTCCAGAAAACGCTATCATCGCTTGAGGAGAAGTTCCTTATTCTAGAAAAGGGGATGCGCGAGTATTACTTCCTCTGCGTGTCGATTACGCTCGTCAAGACCAAGCTGTGGCCCGAATCAGCATCGACGTTCAAGCAGCAGGCTGCTGACCGGCTGCGCATATTGAGTTATAATTTATTTTCGAAGTATATTGGAGATGCTGCTAGTACAAATGAGGAATCTCAGGTACGTTTGTTACGAGCTCTTTTCTTGTGTCCTTTTTCTTTCCTTTCTTTCTTTCCTTCTTCCTTTTCTTTTCACTTTATGATACAGGGAATTTCGTCGCTAACCCATTGTCCCTAGAAGGTTGGCCCTTCTCAGCAATCAAATCTCGTAGCTCCTGCTGAGGCACCACAGAGTATATCCTCCGTTTCGTTTGAGCAGCTGTTTTCAGCTTCCTCTGTGCTGGCTGATGAGGTTATTGGTTTCGACGTATGTTCTCCTCTCATTTTCCCTTTTTTTCCTATTTTTGAGAATTTTTTACATCTCTAATTCCCTCCCTCTCCCCCCGCTTCCACCTTTCTTTATCAAACTATACCTTTTAATTTTCAACGGCTAGAAGTATGAACAAGTTCTTTGGAGTATCTAACTTTTTATTATTCTTTTGATTTTTACAACAGGGATTCGAAGATTGGGATTGCTTTAATTATTTCGGAGGCTCATTTTCGAACTCCGGGATGATGTGATGAAAGCCCTAATACACTGATGATAGTGATCCTGAGGTGGACATCCTTTACCGAGCCGCGAGCGTGATAATTCGTCTACTCGGAGGTGGCCACCATATTGAGATTCCTCTTCTATCAACATAGCGTACATTTTAGTGTTTTGTGATGGGATATAGACTTCTTTGGCTGCATATGGATATCAATTACGCTATCTTCTTAGAACGTCACCAAAGAGGGAAAGGAAAAGAGAAGCAAAAAGAGAGAAGAAAGGCACACAACTGAAATCCTCTCGCCCGAAGATATATTTCCTTTCTTGAAATATTGAGACATGATCGCCAGGATGCTCCCCAACACATTGGCTTAACTTTCGCCTTGCAAGTCCCAACCACCGTCTACATTATACACGGCTCCTGTTACAAATGAGGCTGCATCACTGAGCAGGAATAATACCACGTTCGCGACTTCATCTGCCGTCCCAACGCGGGATATCGCACCGGGTATATGATTAAGACCTCCTTGTATAGCACTGCCTTCGTCAAGCAAGGGTGTTTGAATCGAGCCCCTATTTATCTGATCAGTACCACTCTCCTTTTTTTAGACATTACACTCCTCTGGTAACCATCACTTGTGCTACTGTCCAGGGTATATGACATTGAGACAAAGAATAATTAATGAATCAAGAGGGATATAACTCACGGCGCAATGCAATTGACTCTAATACCCGGCGCAGCCTCCTTAGCCACCGATTTCGTCAGTCCCACAATACCATGCTTGGTGGCCGCATACGTCGCCGATTTTCCAAACCCCATCACACCCTGGATACTCGCGGCATTAACAATGCTCCCAATCCCCTCCCCACCAGCACCAGAATCAGCATCAGCACCCCTCCCCTTGTTCGCCATCATGGCCCTCAATTGAGCTCGAACACAATACATCATCCCCGTCAAATTCACCCGCAAAAGCAAATCCCACTCCTCATCATCCTGATCCACCAACTTACGGACCCCATGATTCTTCCCAATGACGGCCGCCATATTTGCCGCTCCATCTAGGCGGCCGAACTTGTCCACCGTCGCCGCGATCCAGGCGTTGACTTGCGTGGAGGAGGAGACGTCCACTTTTGTAATGAGGATGTGGTCGGGCGAGGAGCCGAGGGCTGCGAAGGCTTCGTCAAGGGCAGGCTGGGAGATGTCGGCGAGGGAAAGGAGGGCGCCGTTTTTGCGGAGTTGTTTGGCGACGGCGAGGCCGATGCCTGATACCCCGGTTATGGCGTAGACTTTGGAGGTGAAAGAGTCCATGGTTCTTTTTTTCCCTCAGGCTTTTCTCTTGGAGTAGGACAAGGGGGATTCGGATTATGTGGTCTTCGTGGTAGAGATTGTAGATAACTCTTTTTGGATTTTGCGGTTTGGTTTTCGCCTTGGTGATATGTATATGGCTCTTTGCTCTTATATTGGGTTTTGGGGGACACAACGAGAAGGCGTTTCTGGATGGGGATCAGGAGGATTTTTTGCACACAGAATCTAACTAGCTATTCGCCTTTGTTCTTGAGGAAGAGGAGGAGGAACTGAAGATTTATATACTCAAATTCCACGCGACTGGAATCACCAATCAAAAAGCAAAAAACACAGGCAAGATATCTCTCGATAGAGTTTCTTGAGTCTGGACTCTTCCTCGATGTCCAAGCTCAACTCTTTTTACTATACAAGTCGATCCGTTGCGACAGAGGGAGGAAAGCGGTTGACTCGATGAATTGAATTGCATATGTGAAATGGAGGAGTCCGAATAATTGCAAACTACGTTTGTCAGAAGCTGACTGGCGCACCCGGATGGACGCAGGTGGAGAAACACATGTTACGGTGACTATTACCTACGTCGGATTGTATGTATGTCCATACGAGATACGGAATACGGCGGCGGGCAGGGAAGAGCGAGGTGGGGTAGTTGTTAGCCGGTAGCCCTGGGCGAGGAGGGGGACAATCTGGAGATAGTTCTGAGCCATTCTGCACGGTGTATGTAGATCTTGCATATTACACATTTCTATTTTGTCACTGGCAGCCATGTGAGTCAAAAGGTTTTTGCTCATGTGTTATTAAGATAGGCAACTAACAATGCAGGAAACCAGGCCTCTTAAGAGGAGGGGGTACATGCACATTAGATACATTTGAGTACCTCGAAACCCTTGCAACAAGTAAAGCCGCGCCCTACATTAGGAGCAAAGCCCCCGAATACTCCCTGCAGAAACATGTATACGCAAAGAAGGACGTATGGCGGTATCGGAACAAACTTATTTCAGCAATTTCATTCGAGTCTAGTTGCAAGCTTGAGGCGAATCGAACCTTATGGATACGCGACTAGGGGTAAATAGACCGTCGAATGATGTCAGATCGACTATACTTACTACCCACAACACATGATGAATTAATGGCCATATTGAAGTGCTCCAAGCAGCTGTACATCTGTGCATACATAGCTATATTTAGGTCAGTGATTTGGGTGATGAACTAGCTCAGAAAGATAAAACCCTTGCCCCAAAGCCTAAAGAACCCCCCTTTGTGTACATGACTTCATAAGATGAACTGACAACACATATAGAATGAAGAGCCACCATCTAGATGCATAATGGCAAGCTGAAAAGACTCTACTACAGTTATCACTTCCTTGTCGTATCATGATATGTAGGAGGAACCGTTGCCTGCTCATTTATGGCTGGCGGATACACCTGTCCCTGTAGCGGCACTGATGTATCGTTACCGCCATAAAACGGAACAGCAGCAGCAGCAGTAGTAAGCCTTGTACGCATTTTAACCCTCTTGCTCCAGCAGCCCGCCGCAACGATTCCCAAAACCACACGAGCGACCACGCCAACGGCGATCCCGGCCTTTGCACCCTTGGATAAAGGCTTGCGGGCATGAGGTAGCTTCAGAGACTCGGTGGGGATGGGCACGACGGAGCTGTCGGTCATTTGGAAGCGGATTTGGATTGGTGTGGCATAGACGATGCGCGCGGTTCGGGTGGTGATGGCCTCGTTGGGTGGAAAGGGGAGGGAAACGGGGGTGTTCAGGTATCTTTTGCAGAGCCTGTCGGCGTCATCTGCACATTCGAAGGAGCTGGTTTTGGTTTGTTTTATACTGTAGTTAGCGTGATGAACGGGTTGTGGTTCATGTGCTCTGAGAAGGGGAGGAATAGGCAAAAGGGGCCCCCTGGAGGACACGCGAGAAAAGCGGGCCAGGAATTTTTCTCTTTTTAAGAAAAGAAAGGCATCAATTTACGACGGGCAGCAGTTGATTGTTGTTTCCACCCTCTGTGCCGACGAGGACAAAGTGCAAGTCATATATTTATCCCCATGGACAAATCCCTGGCCTGAAATATCTTCCTCTCGCCCAATCTGGCGGGCAGCAGTCATCGCCGCCTCCGGGACCCTCGCAGCCTTGTTGAAGGCCGGGCCATCCGCCAATGTCGGTAGTGCGCACTTCGGTAGCGCAGCTCGACGGCGGCGTGAAGGTGGTTGTGAGCGGACCTCTGGGTGTTCGGTATGTATCTAGTCGAGGCTCGCCTTTAGCGGCGCATAGGGATGCGGCGGGAAGAAGGTAGGATATAATTAAGGTCTGAAGGAACATTATCTATTTACGTGTGAACTTGTAGTTAAAATAGTTTGCTATAGTGAACTTGAGCCGCACGATAGGGGAAGGGGGGTTCGGCAAGGGATATAAAAATTTGGCATTTATACGCAACAGACTCAGATTATTTATTTGCAGCACACATCATCTGCGAAAGGGTTCGCGATTTGAACAAGATACTTAAGCCACGGCCACCCAGACACATTTATCCACCTCTTTTTCCTCAAGTGCGGCTGAGGTTTCTTTGATCTACATCTCGAGAGTGCTAAGTATCCAAAGCTTGAACTCCACAACGGGTAAAGCAAGGAACTCTAGGAGAACCAACCGACTCTTGCATCGTCCTGGTCCCAAACACGAGAAATTCTGGGGCAGCTTTGCAGATCCAATTTAGGACAGCTGGATACTTAATAAGTGCATAGGGGGAAGACCGTTGTTGGGACTTGGCAGAACCAGAAGCAATAAATAAGGCTGGGAACATTCCATCTTCTAACCCATCATTAAAAACTTCCACCTGTCATTTCCGCACAAGGCGGCGGAGATATATGTATATATATATAGTAGCATCGTGAAGAAATACAAAAACGAATCAATGGCCACGACTCCAACACCCAAGTAAACAAAACACCTAATATCCCCGAGAGAAAAAAGGAAAAAGGCACGTCGTCACTCCCTTGCCCCCTGGAAAGGACAAGACAAGATAGAAAATCTACTTCGACCAGGTAATCTAATTCCAAAGGCTCCATCATAAAAGAAGAAAAACCCAGCTCCCCTATCCAGGCATATCCTGCCCTGCACCTTCTCATGTCATATATAAACGCAATCATGTCCAGCCAATGCAACCGCAAAACAGCAAACTACAAACAATATATCTGGCATAGAGGCAAAAATCTCATAGACACAAAAAAGCCCATCCGAAAAAAAATGTACACCAACCATCCCACACTTCTCACACTCTCTCTTAACTCGCCATAGCGATGTAATCTTTATTCTCCACGGTAACGCTCTTAGTCATGTGGTTAACCTTATAGACGCCGACGAGTCGAGAGGCAAGCTCGAACTGAATTAAGGGGTTTTGCGTATTAGAAGATATATCCCGAATAAGTGTACCTGGAGCTCCAAGGGAATGGGGGTAACACTTACCATGTTATTTCGCAAAGAGATAACGATGAACTGGGCATTCTTCGTTCGCTCTTTGATATATGAGGCAACAATGGAGACCTGCAGAACAAAGAAGCAGAACAACATAAATCAGTAAACTGGCCAAATTGCCCATCCGCCCCTTCTCCTGGTTTGTACTCACATTCCTAAAATCCAACGCCGCATCAATCTCATCCATAACGTATAATGGCGTCGGCCGGTAATGATGCAACGCAAACACAAGCGCAAGACTCGATAATGTTTTCTCACCCCCGGACAAATTACCAATGTTCTTCCAACTCTTCTTAGGAGGCATGACCGAGAATAGAATACCCTCCGAGAAAGGATCAAGGGAATCCACAAGCTCCAGCTCAGCGTTTCCACCCATCGTAATCATTTGGTACATCTCCTTCAGCCGGAGCGAGATAGTGCTGAACCCTTCCATAAAACCTGTTAGGCGGAGGGAGCGGAGAGTGTCGAGGCGTGACTTCGCACTGTCTCGGTTTGCGAGTGCGGTGGCTAGGTCGGCGGAGCGTGACTCATGCTCAGCGACACGGCGGCGGTATTCACCTAGGACAGAGAGGTCAACGGAGGCGTTTTGTGTCTTTTCCTCCAGCGCAGCGATGGCGGCTTTGAGTGACTCTTTGCTCATATCGGCGAGCTCATCCTTGGTGTATGTTGGGAGGCTCTGAGCTTCCTGTTCTTCGCCCAGGTCACTGATATTCTGAAGAGATAGCTTGGCTAGTTTCTCTAGCCAGTATCGACCCCGTTTTTGATTTTCGGCGAGAACCTTTTGATTCTCTTCGAGTTTATTCTTCATTTCGATTTCAGATGCACGAGTTTCGTTCAACTCAGCTACCTTCTCGTCCAACTCCGCCTTCAATGAGGCGAGTTCCTCTTGTTTGGTTTTCAAAGCCTAGAAAAAACGTTAGCAAAATTTTTGTTGTCTCATCCCAGAAGCACCCCACTGACCTCCTGAGCCTCCTCCGTCTTTTGTCTGGTCCCATAAACATCATTGTCCTGACTCGCAATGTCCTTGGCCAATTTCTCAAGGTCTCCCTTCACCTGCTCAAGTTCACCCGCCGCATCGGCACGGGACTTTTCATGCTTGATGCGCAGCTTGTCGTTCTTAGACTTGGAAACTTCAGCATTGGACACTTCCTCAGTGAGAAGATCAATCTGTTCCTTAAGACCATCGACCTTGGCCTTTTGACCCCGGAGTCTGACACCTCCAATCTCCATGATCTTGTTCTGGAGGACTTGGATCTCCTCCTCAACTCCTGCAGTTTCGGCATGAAGCGTCTCAATTTCTTTCTGCAAGGACGATATGTGTTTCTGAAGCTCGGCAGATCTGGTATCATCACTCTTCGAAGGTTTAAGTTCCACCGACAGTTCCTGAACGCGCCGCTGGGCATCTGCCAAATTCCGGTTGGAACTCTCGATTTCAAGCTGAATTCTTTGAATCATAGTCTCCAGTTTCGGAATCTCATCCCTCCTCGCTTTTATCGACGTTTCAATTTGCCGCTGCTTGTCCTGGAAAGCTTGAAACTTCCTCTCAATCTCATCACGATCAGCTTCTAGCTTCATGACCTGCTCCTTTGAAACTTCCGCAACGGGTTTTGAAGACATCCCACCCCTGGCAACACGGGTGCCACCACCACTCATAGTGCCCGACACATCAATGAGTTGTCCGTCCAATGTAACAACACGCCATCTTCTCGCACCGTAAGCGATTTTGTTAGCATGTTCAAGGTCTTTGGCGACAAGCGTATTTTGTAAAACACTATAAAATGCTGGTCGAAACTTAGGGTCTATTGGCTTGACAAGATCGAATAATCGTGGCACACTGTCGGGTGTAAAGACGGAGGACATGTCTCGCTGGGGCAGTCGGTCGAGAAGTATAAAGTTGGCTCTTCCTAGGTTGTTCTTGCGTAGATAGTCGATACATTGCTGGCCCACTTCAACGGAATCTACCACTAGGTTCTCAAGGGCTGGACAGGCTGTTGAAATGGCGACATCATACTTTTCATCAATTGTCCCCAAATTACCCAGTCTTCCATGAAACCCTTCAATACGTCCGGATTCTTTTAACCGCATCAAGCCTGCAAGAACGTTGCCCTGATTTTGCGTACTGGCAAGGCTCGCTCGAGCTTCGTCCGCCTTTTGGCGCGCGCTGGATATCCTTGACCGAATCTCCGGCTCCTTTTGTCCAAACTTTCTTAGCTCAGTTTCAAGAAGCGTAGTTTCATTTTCAAGTTCCACTTTCTCCGCTCGGCGGTTTTCCATGTCCGTCGTCTTATTGGAAATTGTAGCTTGGATGGACTGGATCTTCGCGTTTGCTTCTTCAAGAGCAACGGCACCTGCATTACTTTTCTCGCGAAGAATATCAAGCTCGCTCTGCGCGACGGCAACAGCTGATTGCTTTTTGTTGATCTTTTCATTCCAAGGTTCAAGTGACTTCTGCTTAACGGCGATTTGGTCCGAAAGGCCCTGTGTTTTACCCTTGAGTCCTTCTCGGATAGCCGCAAGCTCTTTCTCCTCGTGCCTCATCTCCTTCTCCAACCCTGCGATTTCAGCTGTTTTCCTTTCAATATCGTCCGCGTGTTTCTCAACCAGACTTGCGCACTCAGAGGCAGCCAGACGGCTTGCTTGCATAGCCTTTTCAAGCTTCTTCTGCTTCCCTAACAAAAACTTCCGCTTTTCTTCGAACTTGACAGACTCCTTATCATACTTAGCCATCTCTTTAACCATCGCCTGCGTGGCTTTCTCCATTGCCTCATACTCCTTCGCGCCGCGTCTGTAGGATCGCTGCAGTTGTTTGATGGCATCTTCGCTGCCCTGATGGTTCTCCAACTCCATATTCAGCAGTTCTTGCATCTGAAGTATCGCCTCTTCGGTCACCCGTGTATTGTCATCGCATTCGTTGATGTAGATTTGATAGAGGGCCGACTGTTTCTCAGCCAGTTCATTTTCGTCCTTGATGTAGGCAATCGCTTTGTTCTTCTTATCCTCAAGGCTGTGCTTTTCCTTTTCCACGTGCTGAACGCGGTTGTTTTTCTCAAGACAGACTTCATTCAAAGTTTCTACTTCAGCAGCTGCCTCTTCGATAGGGGCTTTATACTTGGACGTTCCAATAATATCCTCCAAGTACTCCAGCAGGCCGTCATCATGTTCGTTAGCGGCCTTCGGTTTCATTTGAGCAATGGACTCAACCTCTCCCTGCAGGATCAGAAACCGTTTATGGTCAAGATCAATCCCCCGGCCTTTCAAAAATCCCGTAACAGTTGTGAAGTTAGTCTCCTTCTTGTTCATGTAGTATTTGCTAGAATTGTTTTTGAACGCTCTCCGCGACACGATAAGCTGCGACTCCGGCACAACTTCGTGTCCTCCTTCGGGCAGATCCAAAATTTCTTGGAAGTGCACCTCAACCTCACAAAATTGTAGATCGGGAAAGTTCGCAGAATTATGTATAAGCGCAGAGATCTTCCCCTGTCGCATTTTGCTCGCTCTGAAACCAAACACGAAGAGAAGCGAGTCGATAACGTTAGACTTCCCAGATCCATTCGGCCCCACAACCGAGGAGAACGAAACGTGAAACGGGCCCACGACCTGGCGCCCCGCATAGCTTTTAAAATTTGTCATAACAAGGTGTGTGATGACCATTCGTGGTTTGGGAGCTGACGGCTCCTCAACCGTAGGCATAGCAAGCGATCGAGACTTTAGAACTATATCCATTGGCTTCTCCAGGTTCGTGGACATTGGATTTATCATTTCAATCGTAGATATCTCCTTCTCTGGTTGGGCTCTTGGCGTAGCCTCGTTGACAGTATTTTCGGTGATGTCCGCCAGCGGCGCGCTGCTCTGGCAGCGGGAAGGTGGGTGTAGCTCGGGTTGAGGCTGAGGCTGAGGCTGAGGTTGAGGTTGGCGCTGTGGCTGGGGCTCTGGAGAAGCTGAAGGCTCAGGAGTTGGAAGGGATGACAGTGCGGATGCGGAAGAGGACATACGACTTTCGCGCCTTCGACGCTGCTGCGAGGGCTCTCTACGTTTTCTAGGTGCCGACGGCCTTTTGGATGGCGTCTCTGGGTTTTCTGCTAGCAGAGTGGACTCATCCACCGTGTCCAAAATTTGTGACTGCTCCATATCATCTCCCGTTCTTGGCCGCCGTGTTCGTTTGCTCTTGTCCTGAACAGCTGTTTGCGGGGTTTCGGAGGAAAGGCTGGCAGTGGTTCGCCTTCTCGAGGGCCTCTTCGCGACTGGGCGCTTTGGAACCGGGGTGTATTCCTCCTCATCTTCCTGTTCTTGCTCGTCATGGCTTGATAGGGTGGGGGTAGCACGGCCTGTGGAGGCGACATCGTCTTCAGAGGTCTCGTCGACAACAAAACTCTTGCGGGCAGCAGCAGCGCGCCGCGAGGGCCTAGAACCGGATATGGATGTCATTTTAGCATGTGGTGGATGT